GTTTCAAGGATTTGGAGGCCTTTAACTTAGCTCTTTTAGCAAAACAGTGTTGGAGACTTATTAACAATCCTGGAGCACTTTGGGTTAGAATGTTGAGAAGCCTTGAGTTTCACTCTTCTAACTATATTGTTTTGTGTAGTCTAGTAGTTCATATTAAAAAAAAACATTTTAGATGTGAATCATAAGCAGGGTCTATCATGCTCCAAATCGTAGCAAAATCAGATATGACATAACTTAATCGTAGCCATTTGTTTCAATCACATAACACATGGTATCATCTAATAAATTTATAATTTATGGTGTAAGCATATTTTGACTGCAAATATTAAAAAATAAATTACTATACCTAAATTATAGTTAACAAATATATATTCTCTCCTTTAATTTCAGTGCATTATTGAGAATTTCTATTACGAATAAAGCTCTTCAAAGAATCATTAATTACCATATGTAAAATGAAATTGGTGGGTTGTATGTTCTTCTACCATCCACAATTGAACAAAACAAACAAAAAGGAAGAGAAAAGTAAGCACAAAGGGTTCAGCCAGCAACGTGTTATAAAGACATTATGGCCAAACTTCACTTCGAAAAGCCTGGAAACTAGCAAAAAGTTAAAAACTGGAAATCAAAAGAAAAGTTCAATGCCTTTGTGTGACAAAAGAACACAAAACCCATACCCTAACATGTGAAAGGATAGATAGTCATAAAAAAACACATACACACACAGATAGATAGATAGGAGTTGTATGGATGTAAGTAAAATCCTTACTCACATTAATGCAAGTTTCCCAAACAGCAAAAGACAGCTGAGAAACTGGGTTCCACACCCACAGATAACTGATTGCATTCTTCAATTTCACAGACAGCCCTTTGATATGGATTGATCAATTGTCTAGAACCAAAATATCATAGTTTTATTATTATTAAAAAGTATTTTTCAAATCAAATAACATTTTTATACTGAAATTACTAAATATATTTTATGTAACTCTTTTCTATGTTTATTTATTAATAACAATTTAATACTTTTAATACTCAAACTATACTTTTCATATACAGTTTCAGCCAGAAAACATAAACTCTTATTACTATTACATATCCAATTATTCATTTGGAGAAACTCATTGCAAAGATGGAGGATCCTGTACTTGATGGCAATAAATTATTGGTACAACATAAAAGTTTTGTTTAATGGTATATAATTATGACACATGATATGCTTCCCAGCCTGTCTCACCTCATGACAGCTTAAAATTTCAATTTAAGATCTTCACTTCGGATTTTAAAACCAATTGAGAGTTATTTAGAAAATAGTAGAACTATTTCCTTTTCTCTATTACATCATCAATGCACCCACAAAAAATGTAATGATACATCAATTAGGTCTCGTCTGGTGGTTGAAGCTCGAAAGTACTTAAAAACATTTTTAATAGATTTGATAATGCTTTAAGGATGTTTAAACATTTTTATTATCTTATTAAAAAATTATTTTTTTATATAAAGCTAAACAAAAATTCTATAATTATAATATCACGTAATGTTATAAATTTATAATAAGAATTACAAAAAGTTAAGATTGTTCGGTAATCCTGACAAGATCAAAGTCATTTATCATGTAATCTCCACATTAAGATCCACATAAGGGTTACATGATAAATGATCCTGATTCTGCCACGATTGTCAGACAATCTTAATTTTTCATTTCTTATTTATAATATAATATATCATTATATAACTATTACGTTACTATAAAAACTTGAAGATATAAAAGATTTTCCAAAATAAATATAAGACGAGAGAAGTAGCACATCCAGTGGTCAGAGATTGTCCAACTGGTGGGCTAACATGGACGGTGACCAATTAGGATGGGAGTGACCCGAGTGACCCGACGTGGATGCCGAATGGTCACGGACGATTAGGACCCAAGACACCTAGTGGTTAAGAGGTTCACATCGTAGGTGGGGTCCCGTAAGCCTGGAACAGGCCCTATCATCGAATTATTTGGTTATCTTTTCTATTGGTTAAAATCTCTTTTTGGTCCCCTTACTTTTAACAATAAAATCTCTTTTAGTCCTCTACTTAAAGAAATCTCCTTTTGATCCTTAAATTTAAAATCCAATCTTATTTTAATCTTTCCATTATTTTTTTAAAAATAACATAGCATACGAATTTAAAAAAAGGATCCATTTTTTTGTTCCTTTTTAACCTTTTTTTTTTAATTTTTATTATCTAACGTAACATTTATGTAAAAAAAAACAATAGAAAAACTAAAAAAAAGTTAGATTTTAAACTTTAAAAACTAAAAAGAGACCTTTTTAAGTAAAAAGACTAAAAAAAAATTTTAAATAGAGATAAAAAAAAGTTTTAACCTTTTGTATTTAGGTTTTTCTCTCATGTGCCCTTAATCTTGAAAAATTAAAAAGTTAACATTTAATTTATCAATTATTTAATAATTAAATTTATCCATATGACATTAACAATGAAATTAATGTTTACTTTTATATTTTTTATACAAATTTATTATAAAAAAATACTCTTAACTTGTATTTTAAAAACACAAGTTAAAACAATCCTTTTTATTTAACTGAGAAGAGCAGAGTCGTTGTCAAGCTGCCAACATTATGTCGGTTCTACAACAATGACTCCGGATAAAGTGAGCCCACTTTGATACCTCTTGAACTGTAATCCAGTTTTTAACCCCATAAATGTTATTCTCCAGTAGGCCCTACCCCTTTTCGTCCACCAAAGCAACCCCATTTATTCATATAAACCTTGGGCTGGATCTCCCTTTCAAATTGATAACCACCTTTGGGTCCAAAAGAATCTTATATCTAAGCAGGGATATTGAGGTTAAACCTCAAACAACGTTATCAGACCAAAGAGATGAGGCCGAAAAGAGTCTTTTCAGTTGGGGTTCAAACCTCTTTTGTCAAAAAATTGGGTCCATAACTCAAGATTCCCCTCCTAAAATCGTCAGTCTCCCACCGTGCTAAACATTCCCATGTACCATGGAGAAGATCTAAAACCTAAAGCCCTTCATCATATGCAATTAAGATGCCCGACAAAAAAATTAAAAAAACCCAGCTGCAACTAAGATGCTTGATCCATAAGAACCGAGATGGGGTTAAACTAATATAATAGAATGAGCAATGATAAAAAAATTTTAACATTTATTTTTGACAAGGGAAACATGTAAAAATAGCAGAAATACTGTTTTCATAAAATGAAAGAGAAAATAAAGGCGATGAAGGTACAAAAGAAATGCAAGCTTTAGCTACAGGCATTTTTAATTTTTTACAATAACAGTGGAAGGTTGAAAGTAAGTAATGTTTAACAAATACATCAAACAATAGTTTGATGTGAAAGAAACTTAAAAATTACCATGAATACCACTAAAACGATCTCGTTCAAGTCATTGGATTAATTGTATAACTATGTAGCACAATGATGTTAATCATTCATTCTTTTAACACTAAAAACCAGTCTACTACCATTCTAATATACTTCAATCAAGAGAACACTTGGAAAAACCAAGGTTGCAAAAAGCACTAGACGATGGTGGGTGGTTGCCCACAGCCTAGAGTCTAGAGTGCTTAGGCAGTGCCTAGGCCGCCTAGGCAGGTGTTTTTAAAAAAAAAATATTTTTTTTGATAAAATTCTAAGAAAATAAGAAAAAAATGTAAAACAATTCAAAAATTACAAAACAAAAAGAAAAATTAAACATTTTTCTATTCATTATCATGTATGAAAATCAGAATTTTGGGAAATTACTAAGCATTTAGTTTTTTTAATCTAATTTTTTTAACAAATTAAACAATGTTGTTTCATTAGACTAAAAAAAAAAAATTGCTCAGGCCATTAAGCGCACCTAATTGTGCCTGGGCATGCTTAATTGACTTGGGCAGTGCAAACTGCATTGAATTTCTGCCTACAGGCTGATGCGGGCAGAATGGCACCACCTAGGCCCGCTTTTTACAACACTGGGAAAAACCCTGATAAAGGGCATGGCAGCTCAAGTGAAAAACAGATTTTGAAATGCTCTAAAACATATGTAATCCTGTCAGCTAAGACTCTGTTTGGTATGGATCAGAAACATAGGCAACCAACTTACAAGCCTGGTTAACATACTGCTGAAGTAGGAGGTAATCAAAATAGATGCACAAGATCATCCCCATTTCTCACATAGTGGAAAGCAGATAACGTAAGCCTGCAAATTAGAAATCATAGTCAGAATAAATGTGTGTGTGTGTGTGTGTGAGAGAGAGAGAGAGAGAGAGAGAGAGTAGGGTGTGTTAAGTGGTCTTAAACTAAAGTTCATATCCCTAAGATTGAAGTTTCCTCTGGTGTTATATCCAATCCAGGTCTCTCCATCTAATACCAATTGGTTTCAGGCAAGTAATAATAGGGTAACTATGAAGTAAAGAAAGAATTAAGCCTGCAGGATAGGAATATAGGGAACACCACAGATTTATCAGAAGACAATTATGCAAAAATTCCAAAAATTCAGCTTCTTTAAAAAAAAAAAAGAAAAAGAAAGAAAGAAAAGCACCTTGAAAAACATTCCTTGGCTATGAAGTCTTCACGTATTTCATTAACTTCTTTAAAATTTTTTCCCAAATAAGTAAGATCCTTGGGTGCAATACATAAAACAATTCATCATAATTATTCAGTCCTTTGTAAAATCAAGCTTTGTAGTTAGATCTTCATTGCAATATGCCAATAACACAGGTAGTCCACATGTGATAATTTTCATTTATAAATTTTTTAACATATTTGACTACCCCTAATCTCTCTTTTCCTTCCCAATGCAGTGTCAATGCTTGCTAGGCAACAATCTTGCCTGTTTCAAATTCTGAGAGGTTCTAATT